AATTGACTGTAGTGTAGAGCGATGCATGAGAGCCAAGCTGCCAAGGAGTGGACTGTAGTGTACTTGAAGGTGTTGCTTTGGTGAGACTGAAAAACATTTTCCATAATTCCCTTCCCAGTAGGTTCCTTGTTTTGGTGAGCAGCAAGAGGTGGGTTTTGTGTAAGATTTGGAGGGTGGGGATTAAGCGTGTTGAGTAGGTCGGGGCAGATATTTGCAGAGTACACACACGTTTTGTGGTACATGCATGTACATGTGCATACATGCTACTGGCTCAGCTCATTGGTGTGGGGAGACAGCCAGGCCTGCCACTGCTCTTTGTTTCATGCTCACTGGGCTCATCTGTTTTCCTTGATTGATGCTAGCTTCCCATTGCTGTCATAATAAATTCCCAAACTTCAGTAGGGGAAGACAAGCTAAATTTGTTATTTCATTGTTCTAGAGGCCAGAGGCCTGCTACGGGTTTCACTGGGATAAACCCAAGGTACTGTTCCAGCTGGTTCTCCTGGAGGCTCTGGGGCACAGAGTCTCTTGTTATGAGACCGTTTTACTCCACTTTCAAGACCATCAGTGTCGTCACATCCCTCTCTGGTAAGGACTCGGGTAGGTTTTAAGGACTGTGCACTTACATCGGGTCCATCTGAATGACCCAATATGATCTGCTCCAGGTCCCTGCCCTTAATCCCATTTGTGAGTTCCGTTGCCTTGCCACATGATGTGTTCACGGGTTCTGGGGATTAGGGTGTGGACATCTTTGGGGGCCATTAATCTTCTCATGACAGCAGAGACATCCAGCACCATACCTTTAAGCAGCTCTTCTTTGTGGAGGTGCTCAACAAAACTTCACCTCCCCTTCTGATCTCTTTCCTATCTTCCACCCAGAAACTTCCACTCTTCATTTCCACTCCCACAGTGACCCAGACCCAGACTCAACAGTGCATCTTCCACCCAGATCACTCTGCCTCCTGATGATAGTCTGTGTGTATCTGGACCCAATCAGCTAACGGAACACACATAATTAGGATAAATCAACAGACAGCCAAGAAGGATTACATGCAAAACATGGATGGACAAGTCAAGTGAGGGTGGGTGTGGTTGGAACACAAAACACATCCTCTAGCACTATTTAATCACCAGAGTGAGCATACAGACATGGCTCTGAGTTTCCTTAACATGAGAGCAAAGCACACAATGTGAATACTTGCAATTTCCAAATATTTGAGGCAGCCACTTCTGTTTCATTTTCTATTTTTGTATCCCACTAAACTCAGCTAATGAAGTAGATTAAAACCAAAGTGCTCTCTGAGGTCCCACCTCTCACCCCTTCTTTGAAGGCGTCAGAGTAGCTTCCACCTCGTGCTTCTGTATTTATTGTTATTCCTTCCTGGAGTACCCTAGCCCAGGCCTCCACATCATCCCTCCCTTCTAATTCTTCAGGAATCTGCTCCTGTGCACTGGGTACCTGCTACTTCCCTTGCCCGCAAAGGAACGACACTGTTCGCAGCTTATCAGTCTTCAGCAGACTTTTAATGGGAAAATAACAGGGACAGAGAAAGAATGAAAGGAGGAGAGTGGACAGGAAAGCCCCCTCCTTCCTCAGCACACAGCTTATATACAAAATCCGGCCAATTGCAAGCGGGCTCAAGTCCATGCACGGAACACTCCAATCTGCTGTCTGTTCACGCAGTGTGCACGCGTTCTCGGGCCAATCAGATGAGGTGTCACGCAGCAGGCAGGCTCACTGCGCGGTCCTTGGCGCCATCTTGTTGTTTACAACATTCTCAACTCCTCTGGAACGCCCCGACTGTGGGAAAGCATTGCCCTAACCGAAACTAGCAACATCCGCCTTGTGATAGAGACACAGCAACAGCTATCAGACCGACCTTGACGTGGGGGCTCCATGGCTGCGCATCCCATGGAGCCCCACAGGTACCTGCTATTTCCCTTGCACTGACCTACTTTCTCTGTAGCACTGTTACTGGTCACAGGCTGTGTGTGCAGGTCAGTTACTACCACCTGGAAGATTCCCAGTGAGAGCTGGATGAAGGTCTAGTCTCCAGCCCCACATGTACAATTATCTTGCCATTATAAATCAAGAGAAGAAACACTCAAATGAAATATGTTCCACCAGCCGTTCTGGTGTACGTATGTATATATATGTATGTGTGTGTGTGTATGTGTATGCCATTATATTGAACAAATAAACAATAAAGCCATGAGTTTTATGTCATTGGAAGTCATCAGAATGAAAGAAAACTGAAGCTACAAAGTCAGTGTATGGGGCCAATGCTGTGGCGTAGCGGGTAAAGCCACTGCCTTCAGCGCCAGCATCCCATATGGGCGCTGGTTTGAGACCTGGCTGCTCCACTTCCTATCCAGCTCTCTGCTATGGCCTGGGATAGCAGTAGAAGATGGCCAAAGTCCTTGGGACCCTGCACCCACATGGGAGACCCAGAAGCAGCTCCTGACTCCTGGCTTTGGATCGGAGCATCTCCGCCATTGCGGCTAACTGGGGAGTGAACCAATGGATGGAAGACCTCTCTCTCTCTGCCTCTCCTTCTCTCTCTGTGTAACTCTGACTTGCAAATAAATAAATAAGTCTTGAAAAAAAGGTCAGAGTGTATGTCTACATATTCTGTTCATGGATCACTGTGGATTTCACTAGCAATAAAATAGCAAACGTATACAATTCTATACTATTCTATATAGTTTGTTTTTATTTTAATGTAATTTTAACAGAACTGACATTCTATGGGCAGCAATGACCTAAAGGATTAAACAGAAAACTATCACAGTTAAATTATATTCTAAGAAGTATATTAAAGAAAACATAAAAACTGACAATAAGTCACTGAAATCACAGAAAACAGCCCTGCAGGTAGAAGACAATGGGAAAGAAAGAAACAGAGGGGGCGGGGTGAGAGAGAGAACGAGTTTATTATGGCTGTTGGCCCATTCACCTGTGGGTTATTTTGCAGAGAACGTTATATTCACAGAACTTCAACTACTGTATTACACTATCGTGTTCTATTATCATAGAACCTGATTTCCAGAAAAAATGTTTGGATCATTGGCACATAATAAACACACGTTAGTTTTAACTGTTACAAGATATTTATTTGAATTTGTTAATCTCCCCCAAATTAGAAAATTTAAAACCTAGATGGATATCTTAAATTTTGTATAACAGATTATCAAAAAATAAAAATGTAAACTTGTAATTTACAGCATTTCTACATAATGTGAATACTCATGAGGTCCTAAGACAAGTAAACATTTAACCAACAGTATTTCAGCTTCAGATATAGGTTGTTTCCTGAGTATCCAAGTTAAATAAAAGCTGGCCACATTTATGAGTTCCCTGCTGTGAGGATATTTGAATTTAACCTCAGGCCCTGTGTCTGCAGCTGTCAGCAAGGTTGTCCTAATGGGATTCTGTCCTTGCCACATCTTCAAGCTGAGCTCCGCACAGCAGTCAGCCCAAAGGGGATGGAGTTTTGCTGGTCATTAGAGAGATTTTTGTGTTTTGACATCTACTACATTGAAGACATAATTTATCTTTCCAGGAGAAAAGTGTTTCTGACAATCCTCTATAGAAAGTTTCCATTTTATACGCTCGGGCTTAGTCACCTCTTCAGGATATCCAAACCCAGAACTCTCTTGCTCTACATGTGCACCCTTATTTTCCTGCTGTCCACATCCTGATTACCAAGAGCAGAAGTCTGTGCCCCTCCCCAGGATTGCCAACATCTGGAGAAAGTTGCCTGTTTTAAGAACAGGTGCATTCCTGGCGTGGGGTGGGGGAGCGGAAGTCCAGGGCGGGGTGGAGGAGGAGCCACAACATCACATCTTGGGAAAAGCCAGCAGGTAGTTTTAAGTATGAAAACAGCATTTCTTCCAGGTACACGGGGCAGTCCAGCAAAGCACAAGAAAGTAATTCCATTTTGAAAGACACGTGTGCTGTGACCAGGGCACTGCCAAGCAGACGTCTGGAAACGTTTTCATCATGATGACCAGCACCACTGTGTTGGTGGTGCTGAAGCCATCTGTCACCCTGAAAGCAAGCCAGATGCACCCACTTCAAAGTTGGAAAAACTTCCTGTCCTGTTAATAATTTTCAAATGATCATTTTAAACTCATTTGTTAAAAACATTAAAACATCTGTACCTTCTGATTATTCTGTAAGAGCAACTAATTGACATGACGGGACATGCATATTTCATATCTGAATTCTAGCAAAACTTTGGCATAACTGGTTGAGGGAATTAACAAATAATACTGTAATTAAGCAAATCCAGGCTTATTTTATTTGAGATCATACGGTCTTGTGAAGCGTGTCTTTTCAACTGCACACCCAAAAATCAAAAGTTAGAGTTTCCTATCACTTGGTCACAAATTGAGAAACCGACATTTCTAAATAGAGCAAAGATATTTGGAAGGAACTTAGTAGATTCCTAAATTAAAAAAATATGGTAAATACGTACACATTTTCAGTCCACATTAATACTTCAAATAATTTATCTTAAAATTAGCCAAAGATCTCTATATTTATATTTGAGGGTTATTGGCCTTATTACTAAAAAAAAAATTTTTTTGATAAAATTCAGCACCGTTTCATGATCAGAAACTCAGCAAGTCAGGAGCGAGGGAGGCACCAGCTAAGAGGCGCAGGCATCGCACCACGCAGGGTCCGGACGGCGGGGCTGCCCGCTGCGCCCCGAGCCCCCGGCGAGCCGCCAGGCGGAACACGCCATGTCACAGGCAGGGTCCAGCCGGCTACTGCAGCTGGGGACCGAAGCAGCGAAGCTGCGGGCCCACGGTCCACGCAGCATGTCCGGTCTCCGGTGCAGGGCGGTGCGGAGGTGAGCGCGCGCCCGCAGCCGTCCGGACGCAGGGGCCTCGCCCTGCCCAGCCGCGCTGGGGCCTGGGAGCCACTGCCCCACCCAGGGCGAGCTGAAGGGCTCGGCCCCGAGGTCTGCGGACACGCGGCACCGGGAGGACGAGGGGCGCGAGGGGCAGCGAGCGGGAGCCGGGCATGGCCGCGCGGGGACACACAGCGCGAAGGGAAGGCCAGGGCTCGGGGGCAGAGCGCAGGTCAGGACGCCGGCCACGTGCCGAAGCCTCGGGAAGGCGCGGTGAGGAACCGGAAATGCCCGGGGGCCGAAGCGGAGCTGACCGGAAGCGGCGCAGCCCCGCCGAGCCCGCACATCCGGGGCCTTCACGCCGCGCATGCGTGAGCGGCCGGGCCCACTCCCACAGGGTCTCCATCGAGGGCGCGCGTCCACACCGCCGGCTGCGGGGCTCTGGGGAGCAGGGGCCTGTGTTGAGGGGGTGTCCTGCAGGGCGCCATCAGCCCAGTGCCCTCTACCGTGTGGCCGGAGGCTGTTCCGGGCCTGCCGTGGGGAAAGCCGCCGGCAGCTTCCTGGAGAGTTTGTTTTGGGTGAGTTTTGTGTCTTTTTTACATACTTTTTTTGAAAGGCTGTTTGCTTTCTCTAATATCTTTAGCTGACGAAGTTGAGTGTATCTATGACAGGATGTTTGGAAATACACCTCGCGGGGTGGCTGCGTGACGCTAAGTAGCGCGCTCACACTGCGGGCCCGCTTCTCTGGCGAGGACGCTGGAGGTCCGCTCTCCGGGTGTGGTCAGCTGCGCCTCGGTGCCCTGCAGCGGACCCAACAGGAACGTTCGGTAAGCGCGGGTCCGGGGCTGGGTGGTCGTGGGAGGGCAGGGACACGGAGCGCCGTGAGACGCGGTCCCCGCGGTTGCGTTAGTGCCTGAATCCGGAGCGGGAAGAAGCGGTGCGATGACCCTGGAGAGGAGCTGGCCCGGTGACCCAGGCGCCTTTCTCGGAGGCCGACGTGACCAGTGTGGTCACGGGGTGGTGTGGCCGCGGGGCCGCCCGGGTGGGCGCTCCCCGGGGAGGACGGGTGGTGACGGCGCCCTCCTGTGATCCGCACACTCGCAGAGTGGCTGCAGAGCACGACTGCAGAATTAGCCTGTTTCTTTCTAGGAGCCCTTCAGGGGGCCTCGCTGTGTTGTCTCCATTTCTTAAAAACTCTCATTAGTTCGTAGTTTCTGTACTTTGAATAATTTCGAATTTTTATGAGCTTTTAATTAGCCTATTACATTAAATTGGTTTTGCAAATACTTTCTGATTTTCTCTTTGTGAGTTTGACATGCCCAGTGCCTATTTATTTTTCCAAGAGCAGTTCATATAATGAAAAGCCAGATGATTCATAGGATTGATTTGCCTTTCTGGAAGAATTTTGGACAACAGGAAAAAACCATGTTTCTTCAAAAATAAATATTTTTTTGGTATATGAAAATGAAACGACAGGGGCCATTTTAATTAAAACTGTCTACTCCTAAGTCAGAAGCAATGGTTTTGGTGTCTTCCATAACTCGCACTTGTGCCTGGGTGAGAGACTTCAATTTTCTGTGTTCCCATTTTCTTAGCACAGCCTAATTTGAAACGGTTCCTCCGAGATTTGCACAGAGTGACAGGGGACTGGATCGGAGTAATGGCACACAAAAGGCCCTAAGGAAATCGGAGGAAAAGACACACAGCCACGTAAAACTTACATAAATTGAGAAGATTCTCCAAAACTCTTTCACGGATGAGATGTGTAGTTTTTCGCCTCATGACAATAATTCCCTGAGAAAAGCCTGCTGGCTTTGTGTTGTTTGTTTACAGGGCAGACTGGGGTCATCTTAGTGGGACCGGGATGCCTCTTGGTATGTACAAAGATAAAAGGTTGGGTTCAGAGCATATGGGCCAATTTCTGTTTCGTTAAGATTTATTTGTTGGGTCAGACAGCCTGGAAGAAAGCTAATAAAATGTATTCTACTGGCTAGTTAGGACTCTACAGAGAAACAGAACCAAGAGGATCCGTCCCTCTCTCATTCTATCTATCTGTCTCTGTATTATTTCTCTTTCTCTTTGTCTCTTTCTAGATATATATTTCATATTATGGGATCTTCTATATTAAGATTTACTTTAATGCATTAGTAGATTGGTTCATATGATCATGTGATCATGGGAATTGGCAAGTATGAAATTTAAGGGCATACATCAAACCATGGTCCAGCCACAGTGACACTTTAAGCTGACCATCTTACTAGTTAAATAATGACATATTTAAAAAGTTTTTTTTTTCTGAGTTGATTTAGTTTCTGTCATGATATCAGTATTATTTAGAATGGAGATTTCAGGATGTGTTGCAGTTTATAGGATAATGTGGATTCATTCATTCTCTTGCAGAGGTGGTTGTTTTCAGGGTGTTGATACCTGTTGCGGTCACTCCAAAGATGAGGGGAAGCCTGAGTACAGGGTTTGAGAAGTACAGTGTAGAAGTTCTAGATTCTGTCCCCACTCTCTCCTGAGATTGGTGCCACAGCTGTTGCAGGGCGTGCGTCATTCACAGAAGTGAATTGTTGGGGAGGGAAGTGCCTGATGTCCTCCTAAACCCAGAAGGGGGCAGTGTGGGTGGGAAGCTGTTGCGATAAGCATAGTGCTGTCCAGGCACATGGCCTGTTGACTACATGAGATGCTGTTCCCGAAAAGTCCCCCAGGTCACCCTTCTGAGGTGAGGAGCTCACCACCTTATACACCCAGTGCCATGCAGGCATCCTTGCTCCAGTGTCTCTCCAGGAATGATACTCCTGCGTGGACACCACCTCACGAGAGTTTGAGCTTCTCATGGACATTTCTGAGCCTTAGTTTCTGTGAAGATAGAATGGGAGACACAGTAGACGTGGCCTTTCATGGTTGCTCTTATGTTCTCAGTGCACCCAAGTGGATGTCAGCTATGATTGCAGCTGGCCTTGCGGCACCTTCACCTGTGTGATGGTACATTTTATTGGTCACCTTGACTGGGATGAGGTGCCCAGATAGCTGACAAGCACTCCCTGTGGGAGTGCCTGTGGAGTAGGTTAGCAGTTGAATCAGTAGGCTGATGGGGCACACAGTCGTTCTGACCAAGATTGGGGCAGGGATGGGGATGGAGGCATAATCCAATCTGTCAAAGGCTTGCGTTCAACAAAACTTCTGAGGAAGAAGGAATTCATTCTCTCCTTGGTCTTGGGCTCCATCTCCTCCTGCCCTTAGATTTCTGAGTTCCTGCTGCTGCCAACTCTGGGATGAGTTGGAATGAGCAGCTCGCCCCTCTTTCCACCACAGGTTTCCACCACAGGTTTCACAGACTGAATCGCACCAGCTGCTTTCCTGGGTTCCAGCTTTCAGACAGCAGACTATGGAGTGACTCAACCTCCAGAATTCTGTGTCAATTCCTGTGATAAATCCCTTCATAATATGTGCACAAACATGCACACACACAGATATACACGCACACGTGTGCATACGTATACATATATGCACACGCATGCATGCACATACATACATGCTAAATGTTTATGTCGCGATCCTGTTCTGGAGAGCTCTAATACAACTGCTCACCTGACTTTCCCCAAAGAAGTGTGAAAAGGGTTAAGAGGAAGTGCAGTTCTTGTTAACTGGAAACCATTTGACAGTGGCTTGTAAGATGGGTAGAGATTTGTGGAATGAATACTTCTAGACTGGAGAAAAAACAGACTTGAAAATGAAAAGGTACATCAACATCCTTGTTTTTCCGATGATTCCATTCTACCCTACTCTCATCTTCAGTAGGTTGGGTTTTTGTAATTTGGCAGAAAGGAAATGTGTCACATTTAGAAAACTAGTGATTTTTTTTTCCTAAGGCTTTCACAATCCAAGTAGACATGATTATAAGTCATTCATTTCAGCATTCAAAACAACATGAGGCACCTTCGGTGTGCAAACAGTGAGCATAAACAACTGTATAAGCAGGTGTAAGACAGAAATGGTCTTGCCTTCCGGGAGCTGTCAGCCTTGTGGAGGGCTCCTGTAATCATTCACACACATAGGTAATCAGAGACCGCAGCACTACTCCTGAGGGAGGGGCTGCGGCGCTACCAGAGATAGCATGCTGGGTCTGGTGTCGTCTGGATGAGTCAGAGGAGGCCGTGCAGAAGGTACGAACTTTAAGCTCAGATTTGAAAAGTTTATGGGAGAGAGTCCAGCCAAGGGTGGGTTGTTAGGATCCAGGCAGAAGCAGGGAGGAGCTGGGGATGCAGATGCTGTGGCTGGACAGGGTGGGGTGGGGGAGTAGGCAGAGGTGGGACTGGAGACTGGGAGGGGCCCTGGGGAAGGACACACTCTAGGATCTCAGCCCGTGTGCCATGGCAAGCCCTTGGTGGGGTGGTCAGTGGGTGAGAAATGGCCAGACCTGTTTTCAGAAGCGATGTCAGTTTCTATGCAAGAAGAGAAGGGAAACCCCTAGGACAGAAGAGGAGAATCCAGAATGGGGGTCGTTTCTGTTGTGCTCAGCATGTGGTACTGAATGCACCTGAAAGGTCCTTCTTACCTTCACAGCTCCTGGGTCAGCCCAGGGAGGTAGCGACGCAGGGTACCTGAACAGGCCCAGAACTGGGACACAAAGACCACACTGGCTTTCTTCCTGACCAGTAATGGCCTTGGCAGACACCTCTGAAGTGGTTTGAGTCACTGTTTTCTCATTTTTAAGTACTGAATTGATAATACCCTAAATTTTTGTGGTGGGAAGAAAACAATGAATGTGAAGCTGAATCTGGCCCCATTGTGGAAGGTTGATCAGTGGTCATGGGCTGGGGCATGGGAAGAGAACCGAGCCACACACTAATTGTGGATTTGAGTGCTTGACAGCATCTAATTTATGGAATTTGATGTCAGTCTAAATTAGATCACATAAGAATTCTTTCCAAGGGAACTTTTAGCCCGATTTATGCATTATTATTCAATGAAATTACATGTTCACTAAATCTAGCAGAATATACAATATAGCCATGGGCAGCCGGCGCCGCGGCTCACTAGGCTAATCCTCCGCCTAGCGGCGCCGGCACACCGGGTTCTAGTCCCGGTCGGGGTGCCGGATTCTGTCCCGGTTGCCCCTCTTCCAGGCCAGCCCTCTGCTGTGGCCAGGGAGTGCAGTGGAGGATGGCCCAGGTGCTTGGGCCCTGCACCCCATGGGAGACCAGGAAAAGCACCTGGCTCCTGGCTCCTGCCATCGGATCAGCGCGGTGCGCCGGCCGCAGCGCGGCGGCCATTGGAGGGTGAACCAACGGCAAAAGGAAGACCTTTCTCTCTGTCTCTCTCTCTCTCACTGTCCACTCTGCCTGTCATAAAAAAATATATATATATATATATAGCCATGGGCATAGTGTTTATAAGAATTTTTATTGATTCATGTAAGTGCGTTTAAGCACTGATTTAATGGACTTTTAAAATAACACCAGTAAGGGGTTAGCATAGTGCACAGTGGGTTAAGCTGCTGCTGTGACACCAGTGTCCCATATCAGAGTGCTGTTTGGAGTCCCTGTCCCACTCCCTTCTAATGTACTTAGGAAAGCAGCTGATAGTGGCCCAAATACTTGGGCCACTGCCATTCACATGGGGGACTATGATGGAGCTCTGGGCTCCTGGCTTCCACATGTCCCAGCCCTGGCTATAGTTGTCATTTGCGGAGTGAGCCAGAAGATAGAAGATTTTTCTCACTCTCCTTTGCACTCTCTCTTTCAAATAAATAAATCTGTTAAAAATGAAATAAAATATCACCACAAATTGTACTAGCATAAAATATGCTGCCTAATTATCC